CCCCCCCCCCCCCCCCCGTCTGTTCCTCAGACCTTGAGTACTGGAGGAACAGAGGGGAATCCCTGTGTAGTGTGGTGACTGATAGTCATTGCTTTCTGCTGGGAGAAGACTGTGAGCTGAGCGATCAGTGGTATGTGATTGCTCAGTTCTTCAGTGAAGTGATGGGTGCAGGGTCGCACGTCGACTCTAACTATGGGGCTGAGTGTATTTTTACCCTCCACATGGTTCTCCTTTGATAGACCAAAACATGTTTTTAACTTTGTCTCTCCTGTTTTTTTAAGTGATGCATATTTGTATAGAATATAATAAAAAATATTATAATAGTACATGATTCTAGAAATTTCAATTTTAGACGCCTAGTATATATCCCTCTTTTTGGGACATTATTTGAAGTTTTCCATTTTTATGGGACTCTGTATGGCATTTCCTAAATTTCATTATTTCTATATATCTTTTATTTATCTAGCCACCCTAGCCCCAGAATTATTATCCAGGTGTAAACTAAATATGCAGGAAAGGCTTGGGTGGTGCATTGTATGTTTACTTATCTGTAGATAGCCATTTATTCTAAGCAATAAAGGTTTCCTCTACTGTCCTATGTATAATCCTGCTTCAAAGAAACAAACAACAACAAATATTTTTAGTATACCTTTTGAATGAGAACACATAAACATATAGTAGGGATTTTTTTTAAATTTGACTGCAAGGGGGGAATCACACACTTAAAAAAAAGCATTGGTAAGGCTACATTTTCCCTTTAGAGCAGCTTCTGCTGCCATTTCTGTGCTCTGCATTTGTATGTTGGATTACCTGTACATGTCTTTTAGATTTTTGCAAGTGACCCTGTTATGAATGTATTACCGAACTGTTCATTCTATGTATATTTCAGGAAGCAGCACCGCTAGATCATCCATTTAGTGCTGTGAAACGCCAGCAGCAAAAGAAATGGCTGGAAGAGCTGAACAAGCAAAGAGAGGAAGATGCGCTGCGCAAAATGCAAGAGAAGAAAAAGATTCAAGAGGTTGGTATGAAACCGGATTACAGAGATATTCATATACAGCCTGCTGCCCCAATCATCTGTACGAATGAATAACAAACAGAACCATATTATGTAGGGTGTTCCTAGGTAGATGCCATAATCTAAAGAACCGATTCCTAAACTTAATTTTTAAACTTGTGAGCTACACTGAGAAAAAATAGGTGGTATTCATCTTCAAAGAAGTACAGGGAAACCGCACTTGGGGGGCTTGTTTATAAAGGATATGTTGTGCAATTTAGGCAGTGGGTTATTGCTGGACATTTGTCTGTCTCTATTTTATGGCCCTTAGTTTCATCCTATGTGTGATACGGCAGATAAGTGGATCTTGTTTGAATTTAAATGTGACGGGTGAATCCTATTGGAATGACTCCAATTTCTTTTATGCAGATGCTGATCGGCGAATCTTGTTTGAAAATGATGGGCGATTCCTCTCTTTTGAAAGCACTAGGCAAACAGAGCGAATAGACTTTGAAAATGAGAGCCGAATGTAATCTTTCAGACGTCCACTATTCTCCCATCATTTTCAAACAAGATTCACCCATTGGCAGCCACATACTATGCTGAGATCCCAATAACAAACAAGATTCACCCAGCACATTTAAAGTCAAATAAAGTTTGCCCATCTTTTCACATCACATTACACAGAGGGTGAGTTTTCTTAGAAAATTATTGCCTTAAAGTACAGATGGAGGAATGTCCAGCAAACAATCGTTATGCGAATCACACGTCAAACTGCGAATCATGAAAAATGGACCCATATGTCTTCAACAAGATGAAGGTAACTAATTTTAAACGCTTGTGTACTGACCTGTATATGCCCCTTCATTACCAGGCCATTCTCTGGAGCTGTCATTATTTGACAATTGCTTGGTCATGTAACAATGTATCCAAATGAATTTGATATTTTTTTGAGACAGCTTTAGCTTCCTTCTGGTGGTATTTAAAGATATTAAAGCCAATTATTTTTATTTCTCCTTTTAACCAGTTGCCTTGTCCGCCCGTTGAAAAAAAATAGACGGACGGCACTGCTGCATTGGCGGGTTGCATTTTTTTTCTGCTCGTGCGCTAGGGGGAAAAAACCCGTGCAATGTATAGAGCCGTTACTGGCTGTTTAACATATACACGATCGGCGTCCCTCACCTTCAATCCCGGGATCCGCTGCCCATCTGCGGCCCGGGACCGGCTTGGGAGGGCGTCAGGAGGAAGAGGAATCGAGATCAGCTCCTTGCTGATCTCCCGGGCTGTGAATGCAGAAGTGATGTGTATTACATCACTTCCGCATTCACCTGTCAGTCATCTGGCTGCTATAGCCAGAGAAAAGAAGCTGATGAAGCAGATCTCTGCTTCATCAGCTTCTTTCGGGGTCCCCAAGTGACATTAGGGGCCCTGGTCCTAGAGACCCCTAATGTCTCCATAAAGAGGACCTGCCAGTGTACCTGTGCTATTATATAGGGGGATTGTATCCCCCTATGTAATAGCAATAACAATAAGTGCAAATTTATATATATAAAATTTAAACCCCACCCCCACGTTTACGCATATATAAACGTAAATACGCGCCCGGTGCACCAGCGCGCGAAAACGACAATTGCGCTACACACGTTGCATATCGCCGCGAACGTCGCAGTGAGAGCAATCATTTTAGGGCCATCAATCACTGATAACACTAAACTGATGAGCGGTAAAAGCTTTTAAAGCGTCGCCTATGGAAAATTTTGGGTATTATCGCTTTTTGAGGTTTTGCGCACGCACGCAATTTTAAGGCTTGACATGTTTGGTGTCTTTTTACCCGACGTGACCCCATCTTTTATATTTTGCCAAAAAATTGGGTAATAATAAATGTTTTATCATTTAATATAGGGGAAACAGTTATTTTTTTAAAACATTTCGGTAATTTTTCCTTAATATAGTAAAAAATTTAAACCGCAGTGGTGATTTTAATACCACCAAAAGAAAGCTCTATCTGTCTCCAAAAAATGGTATAAAATTTATTTCAGTACAGCGTTGCATGATGGAATAAATGTCAGTCAAAGTACCGCAGCGCTGAATACTGAATAATGGCCTGGATGGGAAGGGGTTTAACACCGCGGACGTCAACTTGTTAAGGAGACCCTCCTTTGCTGCAGGCAGTTGCTTTTTTTTTTTTCTTCTCTTTCCTCATTTTCTAGTGAGTCCCCACCATGCTCGTGCCACCATCGTTCTAATAGAGGCACCTATCCATAGACACACACAGCCCTGTGGCAGGCCTCGCCTTTTCCCTCTTTGATTGATGGCAGAAGGAGCCCATGGCTCCTCTGCCATTAGTATCCTCGCCCACAACCCGGAAGTTCGGGGTACGGAGGATCGATTCGGGATCGGCAGCGGGGACGATCGCAGCTGACAGGTAAGTCTGAGGGGGACTGGGGTAGAAAAAAGGTGCTGGGCTGTTTTTACCCTAATGCAGAGGATGCATTAAGGTAAAAAATGCCCAGACCTTAATACTACTTTAATAACCACTGCTTTTTTATTTTTTACTATATAAAGGAAAAAAAAGGGCAAACGCTTTGAATAAAAACTTGTTTCCCTTACTTTCTTGTATAAAATATATCAAAATTGGCAGAACAATACAAACACCCCCCAAAATGTCCCCTTTTTGTAATGTAGACACCCCAAGGTGGAGGGGGGG